TGTTGACCAGTCCAGATCTTTCTAAACACTTATTCATATGGAGAAAAGTGTTCTCTTCAAAATGAGATGTTGCTGAGCTACAATATCCCTATCAAAAGTCATAAGCATTTTTCTGAGAGCACCTGGAACACTGCTTTTCTTCTTTTGTTTCATTCTTATACATCTATTTTTGCCTTGTAGTATTGCGTATAAGAACAGACAAGATCTTATTTTAGGATCTTACAAGATCCTGTACGATCCTATTATAGGATTCTTTGACCTGGATTTGACTACACATTATTTTTGTTTTAAACACAGCCGAGAAGTGACGCGCTTTGTCGTCGCAGACCTATTATCCTACCAACATAATTCTTTCGTACATCTTTATTTAACTAAAACTTGAAATAGGCATAGCTTCATCCCAAACCTTACTTGCCTTACTTCTTGACCTTGCTTCTTCTATCCAACTGTATGTATTTCGTTCCTGTTTGAAAGGGGCCGATACTACACGAAAAAACGGCAAGGTCCTTTAACCCAGCGTATTTTTCCTGAAACAACATTTTCTAACGTCTACTAATCTGCGTTAGAGCATCAAAATTATTTCATGAATATTCATTAATGCTTCTGTTAATATCTCATGCCATAAAAATGATGCTTGTTCTTTTGTTAAATCTCTTGTAGTTTTTTCGTATTTAATATGAATTAAAAATATTCCATGTTATGTTTTTCTATTAAAATTGTATAAGTTTTTTAAACTGTTTATTATTGATTTATAATCATTAAATGTACCGGCTATTTTTGGATATCGTCTAATTAATGTTTGATGATATTCGATTAAATTTATTTCGAACGAAAAAAAAATATATGATCAATTTGATTTGATCAAATTGATTGAAAATGGTATATAAATGTTTCAAGTTATATTTGTAGATAAAAAAGAAATAAGATGAAAAGTGCAGACGTTCGAAGCATTGTACTTCGTAAACATCAAAACGAAGACACACCAACAAAAATATTTCGAGATTTAAGCTGGACCGTCTTGTTGAGAACGCTTAAACGGTGGATGAAAATGATCAATAACTCTGGTAGTTTTAATTTGTCAACACCTCCAGGTCCAACGCGTACGATTCGTACCACAAGCATAATTACCAAAGTCAAACAACGAATGGCGCGAAAGAAACGAACATCAGCAAGAAAAATTGCAAAAGAACTGGATATTTCGAAACGAAGTGTCGGTCGGATACTGCATCAAGATCTCGCTTATTTTCCGTACAAAATGATCACTGAACCGGCAATCACAGATCTTCAAAAGCAGGAAAGAGCCGAATTTGCATATTGAGTAAGATACAATTACAAAAAAGATGATATAAAAAAATGATTATTTTCGGATGGAAAAATGTTCGGTCTGAATGGTGTGTACAACATTCAGAACGATCGAATATGGGCAGTTAATCGACGAGAAGCAGCCAAAACGGGTGGAATCAAACGGAAAACAAAATTCCAAGAAAAGTCATGGTTTGGCTCGGAGCATGTAGTGAAGGATTAACAGCCCTCGCCGTTTTGGATGAAGGAACAGTGAATCATCACACAGACATCAAAAAAGTCCTTCCAATTGCTCGCAAATGTGGGAAACAGATGTTGGGCGATCATTGGACATTTCAACAAGATGGCGCAACACCTCATAAAGATCATCACAGTCAAGAATGGCGTCAGGAAAACTTTCCGTCGTTCATACCAACTGACCGATGGCCTCCGAATTCACCTGATTTAAATCCCTTAGATTACAGCATTTGGAATGAACTTGTTCAAACTATGAATTGGGGTCATGTGACAACAAAAGCCAGCTTAATTGAAGAATTAAAGCGAGCCACGAAGAAAATACCAAAAGAAACTGTTTTACGAAGTTGTGATGATTTCTACAGACACTTGTATCAAGTGTTAAAAAATAAAGAAGATTATATACGTTGAACAATCAAGACTGGATTATAGAGAAATAGATGGTGAATCTTTAAGCAAGAATGGGAAGGAAAGCCAAGTGATCGAAG